TTAGACGATGAAATTTTTACTTTTCTCTTAAAATAATAATAAATAAAATTAAAATATGAGACTAATAACTTGTCATAAGTCACATAATTTAAAATATTAAAATGTAAATTTTTTTTAAATTTATAATATTATATGTATGAATTTATTTAATAATATAACTTATATCATATTATTATTCCTAAATTTTAGTCTCAAATTTTCTTCTTTCCTATTATTATTACTTTTTCTCTTAGCTGAACAAATCCTACTACTTAAATTGAATTCGCTTTGGGTAATTTCATTAGTTCTATAATTTTTTTCTTGTATAAAGTTTTAAAAATATTAATTTATATGTTAATTTTAAATTATTAAATAACAAATACCAATTTTTTTTTTATCAACTTTTAACTAACAACTATAGTTATTGCACCCGACCCTTGAGGCCCACTGACATCAAGCCAGTTAGTGGTGCATTTCCCCATCTTTCCTGAGCGGTTTCGAACCGCCCCTTGTGAATATGTTAAAAAAAAAAAAAAAACTATAGTTATTAATTCTTTACAACAATTGAACCAATCAAAACATTACTGTTTGTCAAGCTGTCAAAAAGGAAAAATGAAAATCGAATCTGTGGCCGGAATTAGTAGGTCATAATGAATTATCAGTAATTCAAGACAGACACTCGAAATTACAGGTCAAAAGAATGTAAGCCAATTAAGGAGAACATACAACATATATCTGGCATATTTATGTATTAAACTTTAACATGCGATTAGCATTTGGAATCTCATGAGCCCATAAATTGTGTGTATATGTCTATGGAACTGTAATTATTTCATATCGAAAATACATGATAAAAGTAAAACAAATAAAGATTGTGAAAAAATAGAATGAAAAATTAAAAGTATTAAGACGTTTATTTCTAATTACAAATTAAGTGTGATATAATATATGTTTTATTTAAATTTTATCTATTAAGTGACAAAGATTAAATGTTCTGTCAAGGCATCATGATTTTTTTTCACTTTTTGAGACAAATATGGAGTGATTCGTGAATTGAATTTCAATTTGAAATTCAAGACTACATGAAATCTTACAACTATAACGTATGTATTTATAGTTTCATTGTAGCTTCTGTCACCTTCTATCTCCCAAATAATATCTACCCTTAATCGGTTTAACTACCGACGGTTTCATGTTTGTTAATTGACCTGGTAGGTACAAACATACCAGATAAATAAACTTTTATAGCAAAATAGGGAAATGATTTATAGACTATTTTCATTTATTTATTTTTTTTTATTTTTATTTTGTAAAACTCTGCTTTTTAGTTAATAATAGATTTTTTTTATTAAATCAAGATCCATGATATTAAATGCATCTACTCATTTAATGATATATGAAAGAATATCAAAAAGTAATATGAAAAGGTCATCCTATAGCACCGCCCTTGTTTTTAAAAGAATTTTTCATCAATTCCTTAATTATAGTTTGAATAATCTATCTTTGATAAGATAAGA